CGTGGGGAAGACGATGGCTGGACATGCGCAATATGTGTCCTAACCAGCGAACCCGACTAATCTGAATTCGATGGGACAACGATTTCCCCATCGAATCATCACCAAATACGCGACGCCTCATCTCAGAGTTGCTTACAAGCTCGCTCCATCCAAACCGCGCCAAATAATGTAAACACACGCAGTCGAATACTTCAAGACGACGAATATCTTCCACGCGCAAATTTAAGATCTCGCAACCATAGAGCAGAACTGACCGCACACTGGCGCAGTATAAGCGACTTTTCAGTTTCAACGAAACATGGGGTTTGCACCAAAAGGGTTTCAATCCTGCGTAAGCTGCTAGAGCCTTGGAAATACGGGCGGTTACTTCATTGACAATGCTACTGTCATTTAAAACGCAGCTACCTAAGTAGGTGAAACATTCCACTACATCTCATTCTTGACCATCAAGCATCAGTGCTGGGGTGGACGACATCCCGTCTTGTAGCATCACTTTGCACTTTGACGGAGCAAAGCGCATGCCGAAAGGAGATACAGAACTCGCTAGTCTGTCAAGAGCGCATTGCGCATTCTCCATAGATTCGAACAGGCATACGATGTCATCGGTGTACTCAAAATAGCACAGCATTTCTCCAGCTGACCATTCAATACCTAGGTTTTGGAGACCAGTAAGTGCGTTCTTCAGTACTTCGTCTACGACGAAATTAAACAGAAATGGCGAAATAGAGCACCCTCGACGGACACCGCTCCTGGTTTCGAACGATTTACTTAGCCCACCGTAAACCCTTACGCTACCAGAAGTATGCAGGTACAACGACCACAATAGGCTAACATACTTCCGCGGCATTCCTTTGCGGAGCAGCGGCCCAGGAAGAGCTTCACGGTCAACTGAATCGAAAGCTCCTTTAAAGTTAAGGAACACTGCGATTGTTGGCCGACGATGTGTGTGACGCAGTTCGAGGACTTGACGCAGAGTGAAGATTTGGTCCATACACCAGCAAACTGGTCGGAATCCGGCTCGTTGTTCGTGGATATTCCTCTCCATTAAGAATGTAAGGCGGCGAAGTATCACAGAAGTCAACATTTTTGTGATTATCGGAACTAAACTAATCCCACGGTGGTTAGAGCAGTTGTTGCATGATCCCTTCTTGAAGATCGGAACGATCAACGATTCACCCCAGGACAAAGGGATACGCTCCTCCGTCCAAACGCTGCGAAGTAATCTAGTCATTGAGTCGACAAGAGAATCACCGCCTACCTTGAAAAGAATCGGGAGATGCCCATCAGGTCCCGCAGCGTTTCCTTTCTCAAATAACTGAATGCAGCTTAGTACTTGCGATTCTGATGGGGGCTCGCATGTTACCACCCATGGAGTTTCCGCCGCAATTACTGGAATAAACACATTAGCACTAGGCCAATTAAACTGTTCACTAAAATACTCTGCCCAGCGATCAAGTCGTTGTTTTTTTAAAGTGGATGCTTTGTCCACTTTTATCGCAAATGGTCTCACTGACCAGTATTCGGCCCACATGCAAATCATGGAGCGTTTTTCTTTTTTATGAAGATTATTGTACTATGAGTTGTTTGGCACAGTCTGGCGTCAGGCGTGTGTGAAATATAATACAATAATACGCATGTCACCAAATAGGCTAACACGGCGGATGACACTTACCAAGACAGGAAGCGGTCAAACGATGACCTGGCATGAGGGTATGACAACCCTAACCAGGAGACTGGCTCACATAGGTCCCATTAGACTCCCTGGCTGGGGACCCGAGATCATGGTCATCGATGCTTAGAGACAGCGATATGGCTAGGTGTAGCAAACAGTGGCGCTCATGCATCTACTCATTTTTCTTGTAACATCAGTTTATATGAATTCTCCATATTTCGCTTGAATTTGCTCTCAAAAGTCCGATCTTTATTCTGATATTTTATCCAAATGGGTGGCCAAAAGACAGAACCCAAAACCGGCACACGAAAGTGCATGGTTAATGGCTGTAAAAAATGAAACTAACTGCGACCTCGTATAAATGCACAAAAGCCACCTTCCTCGACTGCAGAGCTGCCCTCAACTGGAATAGTTGTCTCCCCCTCGCCTTTTGTTGGGCGCCTAGGAATTGGTCACTGGGCTTTTTCCTCGAGAACTAGAATCCCT